GTGAGGCCATATGGTAGAACTGTGAGGGACAAGCCAGAGGGACAAAGGGCCAGGTGGAGGTGGGGCACCACACCCTCTACATCTCATTTGTAAGCACCTCTTAGCCAGAGTGCATATGGGGGCCTCAACCTCCATTGAGGCTTCACCGTCCCGCCCCAGGCACACCAGTCACACGTCTGTCTATCTGTCTCCTCCCCAGACACAGTCCCCACTGAAGCAGGACTCTGCCCTGTCCAGCTTTACAGCCACTGCAGTAAGGACCAGAGCAGGAGCCTGCCCCTGGGAACCGACAAAGTCCCCAAGTGGCCTTCCCTCCCCAGGGCTCCAGGGGGGTGGGAGCATGGTGGTGTCACCACCCAGCCCCAGCCGTCCCAGCAGAGACAGCACAGGGTGATGCACCTCCTCTCGTGCCTGGCTCAGCAGCTTCCTCTCCACCCTCCCTGCGGGAGTCTGGTCTCTATTGTGTTCACGCCCATGCAGAGATTTTTGTAGAGTCACATGCACGAGCCCTTCCAGGCCCTGAACCACACTATCAGTCACAGCACCTTTCTCCTAGGACAGCACCCCCATCACATGCTTTCCTGCCAGCTCCTACCCAGTCTCTGGCTTTGCGACCTCATGCCAAGGACCTCAGACCTAATTCTCATCATCCCTGAAAGGAAGGGTAACACTCTTCCCCACAGCACAGCCCCTCCGATTCTAAAATCCTTTCATATTTCCCCCCAAGACATCTAATCTAATGACTATTTCAATATTTTACATTTTCAAGCATCAGACAGTTGAAATTGGCTTGTAAAGTTTCTCTGGTATTATATTTCTATCAGGAAACAAAAGTTAAATGCTCGTATGCATTGAATATACCGTGGACTTTCAGAATAATGAATTAATCTGTCAACTGCCTCATACGCATGTGAAAGCTGGACAATGAATAAGGAAGACCGGAGAAGAACTGACGCCTTTGAATTATGGCGTTGGCAAAGCGTACTGAATATGCCATGGACTGCCAGAAAAACAAACAAATCTATCTTGGAAGAAGCACAGCCATCTGAATGCTCCTTAGAAGCATAATTTGGACATGTTATCAGGAGGGATCAGTCCCTGGAGAAGGACATCATGCTTGGTAAAGTAGAGGGTCAACGAAAAAGAGGAAGACCCTCAACGAGATGGACTGACACAGTGGCTGCAACAACGGGCTCAAGCAGAACAACAATCGTGAGGATGGCGCAGGACCGGGCAG